CTATCTAATTAACCCTTGCTCCGCCTGTTTTACCCCGTTTTATGCTATAATACTTTATACTAACGCTGTTTGCTATCAGGTGTCGACCAGAGGAGGATGGGTTCCCCTTTTGAGTCTTGGTTCCTCTCAAGGTTTTTTCCTCTTAGGGAGTTTTTCCTTGCCACTGTCGCCACTGGCGACGCTCATGGGGGCTCAGACTTGGATTTTTCTGTAAAGCTGCTTTGCGACAACACCTGTTGTTAAAAGGCGCTATATAAATAAACTTTGACTTAACTATTGTGAAAAAAATATGGTCTATGAGATTTGCAATTCATTGCATTCTGTTTTTATTTACATTTATTTACATTTCACACAACACCCCTTTCCTTTCCCAGGGAAAATTTTCTGGAGACGCCACTGATCCTGATGCCATGGCGCTTGCTGTGGCTCTGACTGGAGGGACTGAGGCAGCTGACACACACTCTGACATCATTTGGTAGGGCTTCCTGAGTGGACTCTAACACTCCGTTCAAGATAAACTTACCGAGTCAGAACTGTTCACAGTGGTGGTGATAGGAACCAGACGTCCACCTCTAAAAGCTCCCTCACAGAAAGTTCCTACATGAAATGGTTATGAATTCACTGCCTGATGACTGAGACACTGTTTTATGATAGTTTAGAGAACTTAAACTCCATTCATGGTGGAGGGAGACATGCAGGGCGCTGTGAGGCAAAATAGTCCCCAAAGAAAACTTATTATTTCAGATTTTCCACTATTTTCCATCATCAACATTCCATATAGACTCAGAAGACTTGTGTAGGTTCACTGGTGGTAAAAATGGCTGTTTTAAAAGCCTTTTAGCTCCTTTGCTGATAGATGCTGGATGTACTAAGAAATTCCACTGTTCCACAAGTTGGTGCTAAAGTTTTTTGAGCTGCTACTTTTGTGCTTCTACTCAAGTTGTGTTTTGTAAAAGTGCTTTTCCTGAAGTCATTATTTCACCACAGTTACAGTCTGTTTACAGGAGGATGAATGTACGTTACACTACACACCTCTGATTATGGAATGTGCTGTCTCATGTTAACCATCTCAGAACTTGAATTCTCACTGGGACTGTCCCTTTTGTTTCTCTAAGAGCAGCAGCAGGTAATTATAATGTAGCTGAACCAAACAATGGGAGCTGCTGGGAGGATGTGAAGGTGAACAGACTGGTTTCACACAGATCAAAGGAGGCGACAAGAACAGAAAAGCTTTTGGTTTCTTCACCAAACCTTCACCAAGAACAAGTTCATTTGCCTCTTTGTTAAACATGCAGCTCAACCACTTTTGAATTTTTGTTATTTGGCCAACGGCAAAATCAACCACCTGTCAGTTAATTTGCTGTAGTACAACACAAATATAGACATTTTATTTACTATCCAGAACCACCAGTGAACCTACATGAGTCTTCTGAGTTTATATGAACATTTGAGGTACCAAACTGCTGCTCCTTGTAAGGTAAAGTGGAAAATTTGGATAAAAACTGGAGAATAAGGAGCTGCAGCCTGGTAGAACTTACAGATGTGAAACAGCATTTAGGATCAACACACTTTTACACTCCTACACAGTAGTCTGCGTTAGCTGCAGTTTCTGCACCCTGAAAGTGTCCTGACAGAACTCATGTTATTGCTCCACAGCTTTATTATGCCAGCCATATCCAAAGGATGAAGTTGTTATGATGAAATAAACTGACACACTGCAAAAAGTGATATTTTAGCGAGTGAAAACATAATTATTTTGTGAAATAAAAATTTATCTGCATTATTTCCCCAAATAAGTAATTGATCTGCCAGTGGAACAAGACAGTTTCACTAAAGCCTGAGTAGACTGATAAATCAATGTGATCAGTTATTAATCTCACACACACTGTTGCTGCTCAGGGGCTTGTGGGAGCAGCAGTACTCTGAAGGTGGCGGTGAAAGGGTGAAAAATGAGAATTTTCAGAACTTCATTTTTTTTTACATAATTAGCAAATTTTTCATGAAATGTAATAATAATAGAATAACATGAAGAATGTCAACCAGTAACAGTGAGAAACAGCATGAGTTAATCAAGTGCCTCATGAAAATGCATTCTAACTGTATATGTTACTGTTTTGTGTATTGTAATAGAATATAGCACTGAATACATTTAGTTCTGTGTATTCAGTTTTCAGCCATCAGGACTTTTTGCCCAACGCTGGGTGTGGTTAAGTTGAAGTTACCCAGCAGGTTTTAAGTTAATCCTCTGAACTGCAGGACTGAGAAGCATCAGTCTTGATGGCTCTTTGGGAGTCAGTGATGCCCTTATACCTACAGTCAGTGTCCACATTCCTCCAAACTGCGTCACTGGCAAAACAACATTCAGTTAAAGGTAAAAGTCTCAGCTCACCCACAACATTCCACTGAGCTACTCCCTGAACAGCCCTAACTGTGACACCATGGAGAAAAGGGTAGAGAAGGTTTGGCAGATTAAGAGGTCTGACATTGGATGGCATTTGTGTCGTACAGTAAAGAGGCAAAGAGGCAACTTCCTTTTGCTAAATTCGGACAAAACCGAAGTCCTTCTTCTTGGTCCAAAAGCTGCTAGGGATAATCTGCCTACGTTTACTCTTAATCTCGATAGTTTCTCAATTGCACCAGGCACATCTGTAAAAAGTCTTGGTGTCACGATTGATCCCAGTCTGGCCTTCGATGAGCATATTACCAATATTACCAGAATAGCTTTCCTCCACCTGCATAACATCGCTAAATTAAGAAATGCACTGTCGCTACAGGATGCAGAAACGTTAGTTCACGCCTTCATCACGTCCAGGTTAGATTACTGTAATGCTCTGCTTTCTGGTTGTTCCAGCCAAAACCTTAACAAGCTTCAGTTAGTCCAGAACGCTGCAGCCAGAGTTCTCACCAAAACCAGGAAATTCGACCACGTTAGCCCAATTTTGTGTACCTTACATTGGTTGCCAGTTAAATTCCGCATTGAGTACAAAATTCTTCTACTGACGTATAAAGCTCTGAATGGCCTTGATCCTCAGTACCTCAGTGACCTTATTTCCTACTATCAACCGACACGCCCACTTAGATCACAAGGTGCTGCTCATTATTAGTACCCAGAATAAATAAAGTTACGTCAGGGGGAGGAGCCTTTTCATACAAAGCCCCCCAGCTTTGGAATAACCTACCAGTCTGTGTTCGGGACTCAGACACAGCCTCCATCTTTAAGTCTAGGCTAAAAACTTACCTGTTTAGTCGAGCTTTTGGTTAATTTGTTTTTCTAACTATGTCCCTCTCATCCCCCCTCCCCCCTACCCCCCCTTCCCCCTCCCCCTCTCTTTCCCTGAGCTGAGCGGCTGCCTGTCCTAAGAGGGTCTGACCTGAGATGCGGCCGGTACTCTGCACAGTGGTGTTAAACTGTATCCACTTATACTGTTTTGTGTCTGTCCTCTTATCCGGTGTCGACCAGAGGAGGATGGGTTCCCCTTTTGAGTCTGGTTCCTCTCGAGGTTTCTTCCTCCTGTTGAGGGAGTTTTTCCTTGCCACTGTCGCCAAGGCTTGCTCACTGGGGGCGTGGACCCGGATTCTTTGTAAAGCTGCTTTGTGACAACATCTGTTGTAAAAGGCGCTATATAAATAAATTTGACTTGACTTGACTTGACATTAAGTAACAGTGTCATCTGATCCTTCACTTGCTGTTCTTTTCACCTCGTGTTTATGTTGACTTGACAAAACCAACCTACTGTTCTTCTACCGTTGTAATTGTACAGGTCGTAGGGTTCAAGCTAGAACCATGAAACTTTGCAGGACTATAGTGCGCTTGTGCCTTGTGATTGCACACATGGCTTCTGTCGGCTTAAATGAGTCCTTTCCAGGGGTCTCACAAATCAGATGAGAGAAGAAGTGACTTTCAAAGGTCGGTGGTTGTAATTAATTGTGAGTAATATGCAACAGTGAATTGAAAATGTAAAAAAAAGCAGCAAAAGACTAGCAAAATAGAGTGGAGAAAACAGCAACACTCCTGCCAGCAATGGCAGGAAACCAAATATTTGTTTATGCAGCAGATCATTTGGATCACAATGATTTTATGTCATATTTAGCCATTTGGACAAATGAGAAGCTACACAGATTCTCAAGTTAAGACATCCTCCACTGAGACACACGTCTGCACATTTTAATGCACAATTACTCTTTATTTACTGTATTTAACACACAGAAAATGCAACCTGTGCGAAAATCATGCCATATTTTGTATTTTGTTTTAGTTTTTTTTTTCAATATGTTAAACTCCACAATGAAACAAATACCATATTTAAGTGTGTTCTCTGTAGATGTGTTAACTTACTTTCACTTTAAGAAAATCAACAAAACAACTCATTTGGACTGCAGTGTTTTTTTTGTTTTCGACTGTATTTTGATAAAACACAAATTTCTTATGTATCATTTGAATGGAATTATTTTGATCCTAAAGGGGAATTCCACCATTTTTCTAAATTCCTCCATAACTCTGTGTCTAAGATGTAGAGTTTAAGTTCTCTAAACTATCATAAAACAGTGTCTCAGTCATCAGGCAGTGAATTCATAACCATTTCATGTAGGAACTTTCTGTGAGGGAGCTTTTAGAGGTGGACGTCTGGTTCCTATCACCACCACTGTGAACAGTTCTGACTCGGTAAGTTTATATAGAATGGAGTGTTTCACACTAAACCACTCTGAATGACTATTTACATTATATCCAGTCAATTATGCAGAACTTTTAAAATATGGAGTTCCCCTCTAAGATTTTAAGAGATATAAACAATGAATATGTATGATGAGCTATTTTGAATTAGCCACTTTGTGTCTCAGAGGTGAATGGAGATCAGTTCTGTCTGTGTGGTGTTGATAGAAGATAACTGGTGAGTTTTGTTGGTGTGAAACTGGATCTTTCTGTGAGTCATGATTCTGCAATTGCGCAAGTTTCTAAATGAAGGGGCATAATAAAGATTATAGAGGACATGGCCATTGGTCCCAGTATGACATGGAATATTTTGATGGCAAAACTGACAGAGTAAATAAAAATTGATTTGACATGAAGACAGAAACAGATTTTAATTACATTTTCATGATATGTCAATGATGACAATTTTATATAAATACTGCATACATTTCAACAATGTTGTTCCCACATTGTTGACATTCATGGAAAAAAAAAATAGGCCGCCACCAACCTGAGAAATCCCAACAAAATCCCTGAATCCCCTGCAATATGCACAGTACAAAACAGTTTACTGCCTGAATGCATTACTCAGTGCCTATGCACAACAAATCGAGAGCTCCAACGATACAATCTGCTACGCTGTATTGTTCCAGGAGGCTATGAGCAACCTTTATTGCTAAGAGTGTAAAATGTAAACTGTGGTTTCCAGTGAGCACAAGTACTGCAGGGCTGAAGGATAAATTACCACTATCCTTACGGAACTAATTCCCTGAATGTGACTATTCTCATTCCGAGTCTGGTAAAAGAAATGAGAAGTAATGGTTACTGTCACAACAAACTTGCATCACCATAAGGAGCTAAATATATATTTATTAGTATTCATGTTCATAGCCTTTATAGAAGACGCTGTTCAGGGCATGCTGACTATCAGTCTTATAGCAGTTCTGAAGTAGCTATTCTATGATTATTTATTTTGGACAGTGACCAATCAGTCAGAGGAGCAGTATTTTACTCAGAATTTATCACTTCTTATCTCATCATTAAAATAGATTTAACTCCTTTATTAAACATTTTATGTTCGTATCCTGCAGCCCAAGTACACAAGCACACCTTCATTATACTGTATGTCACTGTGGATGAAAGTGTCCATTAAATAAATTCATGCTAGAGTCGCGGGTTAAAGAGCTCTGAGTGTCTTTCCACATTTCAGATCTTGCTGGTGGACTTCGTGCCACATGATATAAATTTGATGAGGTTGGAATCTGTGAACTAGGATCATTTCGCGGTAATAGCAAGGGTCATAAGGGTCCAGCGCTTTGGAGGGAACATGTAGGCCAGCAGTCCGAATACCCAAGTGGGACGAGGGTTTTAGTCCAACTTTTTCCAGACACATTCCCATGTAAACATCATCTATGGGCAGAATAGTGATGGAGTGAGACACATTGTAGATGGTCTTGGCAGTAAAACGTGAAAGCAGGAAGCCTCCTCCACCACAATAGGAAGGATACCTATCAGATTCATGCACTTGGACCGGGACATAATATTTGCTGGCCGTATTCCTGATTGGTCCAACATACTGGATAAGGTGGCCAACAAACAAGTGTTTGTTGGCACCATCATTACCCAACCCTTGGAGATACACCACCATGTTATCCGTGTTGGCGAAAATGTCATCATCCCCGTTGAGCAGGAAGTGGGCGCTGGGGCAAAATTTCTCCATCCATTCCAAGAAAAGGATCTGCTTAAGCGTGAGGTTGAAGAGGGAATCATGAAAGTCCCACTGCAGAATGTCCTTGTGTTCATGGTTCTCCACTTCCAGGAGTTTGTTCAGCCTCTTCTTCTCAAAGCTCTGTCCAGCAGTCCCGGATATAAACACGGTACGAATCCAAACGCCGTTCTGCAGCCTCTCGGCAGCCCATGTTTTCCGCAGCACCTCCCTTCTGTCATAATTGGGAGGAGAACTCTTGATGACCAACAAAAGAAACACGTCTGAAGATTGCTCTGGACCCCCACACTTGTCAGGAACGTTGAGCAACATCGGGAAATGCCGACAATGTCTGTAATACAGGAAGTCTTGAATGTGTTTGGGCAAGGAGGAAAATCCACTGATGTTGGAAGCAGATGAGTTCTGTTCACATTTGGGTGGTAAACTTGGAAAAGCTTGAGGCATCCCAGCTTCGATTTCCAGATTCCATTCATATTCTGATAGTGCAAGCTCCTCCTGGTTCTTGTCCTGGACATTTGTTCTCAGCAGTATGAACAAGCACAAAGCGCCAACGGTGAATAGAGCCACCGTCTCCAGCTTCCACCTCCTCGCCTGGATTCCTACATGGAAGAGGAGACAGTTAGCAAGTTAGATTTTCAGGGTAAAGTAAAAGGAAACACATTCTGCAATCATATAAACATCTGCTTATGCCTGGCCCACAAAACACACACACACACACACATATTCTAAAACGCTGGAGCCTACGACCCACACTACAGGATTTTACAAGTCCTAGCCGATGTTAAAAGCGTGAGAAACCTCACACACAATGTTTTTTGTTCTTGGTCTTTGGTTATCATCAAAGTCTGAATGAAGTTCACTTTCAGATTATGCATATGAACAAGAGTCCTGACCGATGGCTTTGATTCTCAAAACCTCCTGGGAGTTTCTCGCAAACAAACGTGAATTTAATTCTAAACAAATATGGCAGATGACAACGGGGCTATTGGGCTTGGGACGCAGATTGGGTAGCGACAGGGCTTCTATACTCTGCTATTGCTACTTTGGTGTTGTGTGTGGATTTTTTTTGTTTTCTGCACAGAAAAAGTGTTCAGCTGATTCAGCTTGGCTCTCATTGGTTGATGATCTTTTGGGCATGACAACAACATCATGTCTCGCCTCCACCCCAAACTACAGGACACTGAGTCGTAAATATTGAACATGTGTAATATTTACGATTCACAATCACGATCAGGGCCCTGACTGGACTGAGAGCAGATCAGAGGAGTAAAGACTGGATTATAGATGCTTTACACCACAAGATCATCTGGGAAGATCATCGTTTAAGACCACCCTGATATCGAGAGATCTTTTGCGAGTAAGGATGAGCAAATCAGCCCGATTATCCTCTAGTGTGGGTCAGACATTAGCCCCCAAAAACAAGCCAGTCTTGAAATTCAGTTGGTGGAGAATGTGGGCTAATGTAACACTTATGTAGTTAAACAGATTCCAGTAGAACGTGATTTTGATCATATTCTCCTCTCAACATAATCATCTGAGACTTTTCACAGCAGTCAGCTGTTCCTCCAGATTCTCCCTGAAACTGTTTTTATACCATAACAGTAACTTTTCCATCCTGAGTGTTTGTGATCAGTGATCTGTACAGAATTCACTCCTGTATTACTGTAATCTTTTCTTGGTGAGTGTAATACAGCAGCGTTTAGAAGCAGATAGACAGCTGACAGTGAGAGATAGACAGGCTATAGTACAGCCTCCACACAGGGGGGTTAGTTTAACACACTGTTACAGCAAAGACCCCCAAAGTAAACAATCAGAACTGCATATAATATTCCCCCATATACTGTACATTCACAACAAGAACTGTTTTGTAAAATGTTATTCAAAAATACAGTTTAGATGTCTTTGGAAATAAAATTCAAAGAACATAGAATTGGACTGAATTAACGGTGTTTCCAGACTTTTCTGGCCAGAAAACCTCAACCTTCAGCCACAGTTAATCCTGCCTACAATATAAAACTGAATAATTGCGCTAATTTTTTAGTTTACAAATTTGTTAAAATTACTAATACAAACCTACTAACACATTTTATTTCTTGTATAATTCTTAGTTATTTGGGTAAATATAGTTAAGATCAGTTAATTTGTGGCCAAAAAGCTTCCCAGCATTCTTAGTAGTTTTGTTAGTTTCCGTTAATTAACTCTTATTTTAAAATATAAAATATAATTCACTGTGCAAAATGTTAATTTTGTGTCAGATCATACTCTCGTATGGGTTCTATACAGCATCAAAAAGCGTTCTTCTAGTGTAAAGACAATGTTTCTATATAAAACCATATACATTGAAAGAACTATTTCATGCTTAAATGGTTCTCTGCATGGTGAAATGGTTCTTCAGACTGATGGAGAATGTGCTGTATATGATTGTATATAGAACTGTAAGGGTTCTATATAGCACCAAAAAAGGGTTCCTCTATTGTGACAAGCTTGACATTGTAACAGTAGAACCCTTTTTGGTGCTAGATAGAACCAAATACATAATTCAAAATCAAATTAGATATTAAATACTGGGATAATTAAAAATAAAACTAAAACTATAATCTATAATTTTATTAAATAAAATTAACATTATAATAGTCCATTTAATTTGATGGAGTTGTTTAAATTGAAGCCACTTCACTACACAAAAAGTACATTTGATTAAAGTTACATTGACTAAATAAAGAGTGAGTAGAACGTATAAAAAAGTCGAGCACTTTCGGCTCAGTGGACACCATTTACAGTGACTGGGCTGTTTGAGTTAAAATCACTGCAGACTGTGAATCACTGACAATCAGAAAATCACTTTAACTCATATTTAAAGTTATTTAAGCTTCAACCTGTTAAGAAGTTTTAATATTTTTTTTAAAGTGAACAGTTTCAGCTGAACTATTTACAAATGGAGGAAACTAACACTAGAAACAAAGTTCAGGCCAATATTTAAAGTTGACTCCACACTGAGTCTCAACAACATGCTGTGATTAAAGACTGACCTGATGTCCACAGCGGCCGCTGAGCATGGGCAGCTTAGTCTCTAAGCTCTTCTGACTTTTCTAAAATATTTTACCATTGATCTGCTTTGGAAATAAAAGTGGTTTTAACCTTTAAGTTAATTTAATCTTGTAAGAGTGCCTTAGTGTGAATATCGGCACATCCAGCCATGACAGCAAAGAGCACCTCGCTGACTCATTTTGCATGAAACATAAAAGGTAGGGATGCATCAATACCGACACTGGTATTGAGCATCGAGCTGATACCACACTCATTTACTCGGCCTCATAAAAATTCACCGATACTGTCACACCCAGCTCTAGAGAAGAGCACAAGGCTGCAGGTGTCCAAGGAATACTGGCAGACCAAAATAGCACATTCAGTGCAAGAGTCTTATTGGTTCAGTGCAAAGGCGCAACAATGCAAAACTTTTACAAAATAGAAAAATAAATGGAAAAAATCTACTTACAAAATATATATTTTTATATATCATTATAATATTTATTTATCCTAAAATCCTACTTTATCAAAACAGAATTCTCAGTGGGTGGTCCACAATATCACCCTCTCTCTCTACCAGCTGTATCTGCCGCGCTAATGATATATATGCTAATGAACAAACACAGTGAAGGAGGATCTGCTAACACACAGAAGAGTTAAGTCAGGGTTACTCTACATGACTTTGACTAGTCTGCAGATTTTGGGTCAGAGTTTATCAAACATCTGATTTTTGAGTGTAATCTAGCATAAACTGTTCAACGACTCCATCTGAACTGACTCCTGCTACAGCCAATGAAAACTGATAGTGAGAAAGAAGAAAATACAACAAGTAAACAAAGAAAAAAGGTGAAGTCACTCGTGTGCAGCGAAGCTTTTTGAGTTTATATACGTTCAAATCTTTTAAAACTTCCAGACTGATCACATTTTTAAATCCATGATCCTCACTTACCTGCAGCGAAAACAGCAGCTCCATGTCTGTTTATTTGGGTCTCCTAATAACGGGGGAACGTGAGAGTTTGCAAGGTCTATTCAGTTCAGCAGTAGCTGAAAAATTCAGCAGTGTGTGATCACTAATCATTTAGTGTGGATCCCCAGTATTTCACTCGCACAAAAAATCCGCAGAAACCAGTGTTGTACTGTGAGATGCCCAGTATTTTAGAATCTGTTAAAGCTTTACAAGTCATGTGGGATGGAATCTGGAATGAATACAAGAACACAAAAGACCAGGTAAAAACACAAGGCATAACAACCCTGATCAAAAAAAATCATAGAACCCATTAAAAGGTTCTGCTGGTTCCTGCTGGTGTCCAATACTACTAATACTAGTACAAATAGTCTATAATGGTATTCTGTGTTTTCCTGATGGTTGATTTCACAGTGTAAAGGACACTAATGGTCTAACAGGTGTTCTGATTCCAGATGTATTTGATGGTTTCAAATGGGATCTAAAGGTGTCCTACAGAAAACTAGTGGTCTAATGCCATTAAGCCAATTCCCATTAGAAAGCAAAACCATCACGTTTATTTCTAAGGGTCTTTTTTAGTAGGGAATCCATTGTTTTCCATTCCTCATCAGTCAGAAACCCTGACTGAGAGTCTAGAACATCACTGTCCTGTTTAAATAATGAGCTCCGATGAGGAGAGAGCCATCACACCCATATACTGTTTGGACTAAGTAGGAACTCTACTGGACTGGACTCCACAGAGCTGGCTGCTGCAAAGTGCCCGCTTCACTTCATGCATGCACATATAAACACGTTTACACATGACGCTGTTGTGTTTTCCAAGCCGCAGCTGCCTGTTGGCATTTATCAAACGCAATTAATAGCTGTATTTCACTGTCATTTTTTAGTTATTTGCAGACATCAAAGTTGGAGAGAAGAGAACACAAGAACCAGGAGCTGTATTACAGAAAACTTCCTCTCTTTAGTCCTAAGTTAAGATCTGTCAGGTCAAGATAAGATTTCTCACAAATTCATATTACAGATTCAAATCTGATCTTAATTTAGGAATTATCTTATCTTACAGCATCTCATCTCCAGTTAGGAAATCTCAACCTACTCAATCAAAATCGATAATCAACTGTCATCTCTGTTTCCTAGCAACCGACCATAAACACACACAGCTGAAAAGTAAACACGTAATCAAAATAATGTTAAAATGTGAGTCACAGCTGCTGTTACTGATGTAAAAAGGCCAAACTAAACTAAAGTGTAATAAACGGTAAGTTGTGAATACTGTGAGAGCGCCCCCTGCTGTTTATCAGAGCGTTGCCGCTCCCCAGTTTCAGTCTCCATTTCCCAAACGCTTTAGCCGAGCACGCTAACGTTACTCCTCCTAATAAACAGACACACGTTCAGCTCCGTCTCCTCATTATTCACCACCATCACTGTAATATTTCATCATCAACATTAACACACGAAGGTGATCAGAGGGGCGGTGGAGATCGAGTCTGCAGCGTCTGAGATCTTTAAAACGCAGAGTTAGAAAAGAAAATCATCTCACAGTGAAAGCAGCGTTTTACAGTAGGAATAAATGGAGCTCATTATGCTGGTAGTGAACTATGCTGCTGACTCAGCTGCCTAAAAACCATAGAAACGGACCTTAAACAGAAGTGAGGACCCTGTTGGGGTTCATCCTAAAGTTAGGACAGGATTTAGGAGGTTTAGTCTAGTTAGGATGTTTGTGTGATGCTGTTTTCTTATCTGGAGTTCATGATGAGATTATGAAGTTAGGAACTGTTATTCTGTAGTAGCTACTGTCCGAAATTCAGTCTGTACTGAAGTCGTCATGGAGACCAAACACATCGGATTTCAGAGTTTAGATTTGATGAATGGTTCCACTTCGTCCTCTCATCTTTGACACAAAGGGAAGGCAGGGCCTTTGTGTAATTTGTGGGGCCCTGAGCAACGTGCATAATGAGCATGTAGAGCTGACCAGCTCTGTTTACATCAGTTTAAATGCCAAAAAACATGTAATAGTGGCTCCCACGTTTTTCTTTTTTTATGGTTGTGAACAAATTGAGTCGACTCCAGAGCTTATTAACTGCACAGGCACTTGGATTATTTTTTTTATTTTATTAACATTCAATAAATCATTTGCAATCAAATTTTTTAAGCCCCTGAGTTCTGTGTTGGCGCAGCTACACTGTAAGTGAGAGTCACCTTTAGTGTCCTCAGAGTTTAAATAACAGTTGATTGATTGAACTTTCAAACAGTGGGTGCAAACGGCTTAGAATGTGTATATTTTCATTGTTGGCATCCAAGACGAGCAGCTGCAGCATCACTTTTGTCTGAAGAATAAGCAGAAGAAATTCTGTGGACTGCTCCTGCCACCGCAAATGGCAATCATCGGGGTCCAAGCACTTCGGGTCTTATAATAGATGTTGATCTCTCAAAGAAAGATTTAAGAGTTTTCGGAAATAAATCATTTCCTCTTGGTGTTTATGGAAGAAACAAGTCATTTAAAAAAGTGAACTTTTTGTGAAGGATATTTGAGAAGATCTGAAAAGCAGAAGTGCTATGTGAATTTACTTGAAGTTTATTAAAAGTAATTTCCTAAAATTTAGTTGAAAGGCTTCAGATAAACTTTGGGACTGTAGATGCAGGTTAAAGATTTGCTTTGTGGTGTATAAAGTGACAAATCAGTTAAATCAGAGTTTTTGGGTTACATCCACAGGGCACATGTACAATGTAACAGCTGCCTATTACATCAGCATTTTCCACAGAGTTGTTCAAAAATTAAACTGTTAACGTTGGTGGAAAAAGAAATGACTGACTGCCCACTATGGAAAAGCCTGACCAGTCTTTCAGATCAGATCAGCCTGAAAGGAAAAAAATGCATCAGTAACACTTTCTACAAAGCCTGCATTCATAAATAGTTATAAATGTGCTTATAACTCTTGGAAACAATGCTTTGTAAGCATATGCACTCTAATAATGCCTCAAAAGGCTGTAATAATGGTACTATAGTTCATTTTATGATGACTTCTTTGTCATTATTCATTATAATACCTTTTACTTGGATAATGACCTGTACATTTGCAAAGCTAATTAGGTGCTGAATATGTATTCTGGACATTTTAGGACAAACAAATGTTAAAAACAATTGTTTTTACTTAGCAAAACACTTTTAATTCAGAAGTGAGTGTCTGTGCTTTAGTCATTAGTTTGGCATTAACCCCACAATAGAAAATAAAGTTTATAGAACATTTTAACTTATTCAGAAAAGAATACACTTGGTCATTATTAACTGAGAAATGTACATTCATATTGTACAGTATGTCCAGCTAATCAACATTTTCAAGAATTGATTATCTGTGCTTTACATTTATGAACAGGTCATTATGATGAACAGTTTTTACATGTTAAGTCAACAAAGTTCATTAAAAGAGTCACATTTAGCTATATAGAGTTTATAAATATGTTTGCAGATTTATTGTTGTAAAGTTACAAAGATTTAAAAGTGGATTTATAATGTAGGCTTCAGAGAAAGTGTCACTGATGTGTCTGTCAGGGCATTTGGGGAAAGTGTGGTGGTTTATCTCGAACTGCTGTTAAGTAATTGGTCAAAATATTTATTTGAAATGTGCTTTATGAGTAAAAACTGAGCTGAATTCTAGAGCGAATAGAGGACGTTTAGTGGAGGAGACTTATTCAAACTAAACTGTTTAAAGTTGTTCGGGGAACTTTGTGTCTGTAAATGATTAAAGCAGCAGTTTTGACTGTCAACACTGACAGGTATCAATTAAATCAGTGCTTGTCCACTATGCATGAGAGTGACCAGTCTGAGAAACACAAACCCTTCTGTCTGAGATGAGCTGAGTGTCCTGGAACGTCTGATGATTCATTCAACACATTCTCCATCAAACTAGACAGAATGTTTTTGAAAATGTTCTATGTAGCACCAAAAAGGGTTCTGCTATTGTTGTGATGTCAAGCTTGTAACAACAGAAGAGCAATTGTTGGTGCTGTATAGAACCATTTTCAAAAAGATTCTATATACAACCATATGCAACACATTCTCTATCCATCTAGATAGAACCTTTTTGAAAAGGGTTCTATATATGACGAAAAAGGGTTCAGCTTTGTTACGATGTCAAGCTTGTATACAAAAGAAGAACCTTTTTTGGTGCTATATAGAACCCTATACAAAAAGGTTCTTTATAAAACCCTTTACAAAACATTCTCCATCCATCTAGATAGAACGTTATGAAAAGTGTTTTATCTAGCACCAAAAATGGTTCTGCTATTGTCATGATGTCAAGCTTGTAACAATAGAAGAACCATTTAAGCACAGTGTTCACAGTTCTATATAGAATAGTTGTCTTTAGTAAAGAACCCTAGAAGAACTGTCTTTATTCAGCTGTGGAATTCACATGAACTACGTGGCTGTAATGTGATACAACACTGGATGGTTCATTGTTCCAGATAGTTCCACATGTAGAAATTGAAAGAAGCTTTTTTAGCTCAGCAGCTTCAGCGACAGCAGAAGTGTGAATGTAAATGTACTCACTGCAGAACCTGTGGAACATCTCTGAGATCAGCTGCTGTCACCCGAAAGGAACCAGACAGAGGAGTGTTAAACTGGCTTGTAATTTGTATTTCCACACCGTCTTAAACAGTCGGATCAGATTACACATTCTGTAAAAAATCAAACATAAACATACATTTTCTTCATAATTCACTCAGAGTGGTTTGGTGTGTAAATCTCACACTGAGTTATAGAAGTTTGAAAGTTGGGTGGAATTCCCCTTTAAAATGACTCTTACCTTTTTACCTCAGTCCAGCTGAACTCCTCAGGAGGATCTGCATGATCTTCAGCAGAACTTCACCCATCAGTGTCTGAGTGAGTGGTAAACACTGCACTCGCTTAAAATCCACACACGCACACACACACACGCGCACACACACACACACACACACACACACACACACTGAGCACTGCCCTCAGGGAGAGAGAGAGAGAGAGAGAGAGAGATAAGGGAAAGAAAAAGAATGACAGAAAGGGTGAGAGAGAAAAAGAGGTGAGAGAGGGAGAAAGAAAGAAAAAGGAAGAATGAAAAAGAAAAACTGAGAGACAGAAAAAGAAAGAGAAGACAGAGGGGGAGAGAGAGAGAAGAGAGAGGGAGAGAGAAAACAGAAAGAGTAAAAGAAATGGGAGACAGAGATAGAAAAGAGAAAAAAAGAAAGAAAATAAAAAAGGAGAATGAAACACAGAGGAAAGAAAAGAGAGAGAGAATGTAAAGAATTAAGAGCGTTCTGATCCACCGCATCAACACTGTCCACAATATCAATAAATAACAAAAACATCAATAAACATAAATCAATATTTACATTAATCCAACAAAACTGATCAGGAAACACTGCTGTAGATCTTTAACAGCTTTAATTTGACTCAGAGACAAACTCACCAAAAATGCATGTTATTCCAGGAATAAGGAAGTTGTTTAAAGCTGCACTGAAAAACTAACAAAAACAGTCTAAAAATGAGACATAAGAATAACAGCACTGATATGAACACTTTTGCTGTAAGGATTCATAAAGATTCTTATTCAGAGTCGAATCAGTAGCTGAAGGAGGCTCAGACAGCAGGGACAGATTCAAAACTTTCAAAACCAGCAAAAATAAAGATCTAACAATCATCTAGGAAAAAATACATTATTTCTGTACTTCTTCCAGAGGCGCTCCCCCCATCTATCGGCATTGTGTTTTCCTGGGGGATTTGGATCTTGGCTGTGGTGAATTCCATCGTGGTGAACTTCTGGTATTTTTATGTTGCAGAATTGTTCATAAGAGTACCAGCTTTTATTAGCAAAAAACCGCATGTCCCAGGGTTTAGGGTTAGGTTTAGGGCTAAGGTTAGGGTCAAGGTTAGGTTTAGGGCTAAGGTTAGGGTTAAGGTTAAGTTTTAGGGTTTAGGGTTAGGTTTAGGGTTAGGTTAGGGGAACATACAATGACTTCCCCCATCAACGGTCATCAGACAGTTGTGGTTGGACAGGAAGACCAAGGGTAATGCACGGGCCACCGCTTGTTAAGCAGAGGTTTGGTTTAGGGCCTAGGTTCTGTTTGGGTCCTTAGGGTTAGGGCCAATGCTATGCTTAGGCTTAAGGCCATGTTTTAGGCTCAAGGTGGGCCTACGTTTAGGATTGGGTTAGGGCGAGTTAAGGTTAGGTTCTAGGATTTAGGGTTAGGTTTAGGGCTAAGGTTAGGCTTATGGTTAGGTTTAGGGCTGAATTTAGGGTTAAGGTTAGGTTTTAGGGTTTAGGATTAGGTTTAGGGCTAAGGTTAGGGTCAAGGTTAGGTTTTAGGGTTAGGGATGACTTTGGGGTAAAGTTTCGGTTTAGAGCTAAGGTTAGGCAGGTTTTTTTTAGATAAATGCTGTTGTATTTTTGAGAATGCTATTTTAGCCTTTTTTTTCTTTTTAGAAAGGTGTGTTTTTTTTGTAAACTGTGGTGTGGTGTGTGCTGATAGAAGACTGGGCACTCATTTAAGATCTGTTTACCCCAGACCACCTTCCCTGCGTGCTGTCCTAGTGGACCCAGAGAGGCTGAATACTTACCCCTTGCCCAATTGACCCTTCGTTAACACCGCAAGGTTGCCCAGGTCAGCCAGACAAGGTCTGAGAATTTGGGCCTATCCCAGTTAGTCTCCCTGAGCGACGGGTAGAAAACCAGGACCGGAAACCGTGCCCCAACCACCAGTTGCCAGATGGCTGACTCCAAGACCCGGGAAGGTAGGTCCCGTGCAATATGTCACCTCCCAGACAGTCTTGGGCGGAGGTCCAAGCCAGTGGATAGCTTTCCTTTGAATTCCAGGCCGGTGTGGTCCAATGCTGAAATATTTCCGGAAAGATACCAAGCTTCTACCACTTTGGATCCCCTATTTGGGGTTGTACACCAATGGCGGACTCTGAAAGGGGTGTTATGGAACAGTTGACTCAAATTGTGTTTAAGGGTTTTTGTCAAAAGGAAGGATTGGTTGGTAAATCTGGTGATTAAGGGGATTATGTTTGTATTTCTTGGGTCAATTGTGGGATAGGGATCTATATTCTTCCTTTTATCCCAATCTTGATATACTGACCGTAAAAATGACCTGGAATACCCCCGTGCCCTTAGGGCCCTGAAGAGAGATTGCGTAGCTCTCCAAAAATCTTCTTCAACTGTACATATCCTATTAAATCTGATTAATTGTGCTTTGACAATGCCTCTGAAAGTATGCTTAGGGTGGAAACTATGTTTGTGTAGGAGTGCGTGAGTGTCTGTATCCTTAAAGAAGACTTTAATTTCCAATTTTTTGGTTGTGTTGAAAAATTGTCCTTTGTAAGTTATGGTATCCAAAAAATTAATTTTTTCTGCATTGAGTGTAGAAGTAATCTTGATTGATTCATGGTGCATATTGAGTATGGACACAAATTCTAAAAATTGCTCCTCATAATGGGGCCAAGTACCCCATATATCGTCTAAGTAATGGGTGGGCAGAGTTTGACATTTTTTGAAAGCTGTTTCCTCCCAATTTGCCATGTATATATTTGCATATGCTGGGGCAAATTTCTTCCCCATTGCTGTTCCTTTAATTTGTAGGAAGAATTGGCCATTAAATTCAAAATCATTTTTGGTTAGACTTATTTTGAGTAATTCCAGTAGTTCGTCATCTGGTCTATGGGGGTCTGGGTTTTGCTGGAAAATTTGTCTAATGGCCTCTAGACCCTTGTGGGTTTCTATGTTAGTATACAAGTCCTTTACATCCATGGTGAATAATAAGGTATTTATGTCAAGAGTATGTCAAAGTCATATGTGTCCTTAATGTAGCTAGGATGTTTGGTTGATACCGGATTCAGATAGTAGTCTAAATATTCAGCTATTCTGTAGCTTTCACTACCACAATCTGATACAATTGGTCTCCCTGGTGGCATATATTCTGTTGGCCATGTTTCCCTTGCTTTGTGAATTTTGGGAAGTAGATAAAATTGCCGGGGTCTTGGGGGATTTTCACCTCTGAGGTAAGTGACCTGTTTTTTATTTATATAGCCTGCTGATAGTAGTAAGTCCAAATGTGTTATAATGTCTTGTGATGTGCATGGAAAGATGGGTTTGTCTAATTTCTGGTAGTGATCGGAGTTGTTCAATTGTCTGTTAGTTTCTTTTATGTACTGGTTTCTATCCATAATTACTGTGATGCTGCCCTTATCTGCTGGTTTTATCACTATACTTTTATTTTTGATTAGAGACATTAAGGCACATTCTTCTTCTGTGGTCAGATTAGGTTTAAGGAGAGGGGGTTGTAAGGGCCAAGCCTTGAGTGTCTCTTTGTCTAATTTTATTAAATCTATTAAGGATTTGGGTAATTTAGTGTGTGGAGGTTCCCAATCTGATTTAGGCATGAATGGTTTGTGGGTGTTTGTTAAGTTTGTTCCCTCAAAAAACATGGCTAACTTTAGCCTCCGGTGGTATTCTGTAAGTTGTGCTGTTAGTTCTAATTTTGAGTGGGGTTGTATTATCTGAGTAGGGATAAAGGACAATCCTTTACTTAAGACAGATATTTGTTCTTTTGATAAGTTAAATGTTTGAGACAGGTTGAGGACTGTTTGGTTTTTCGTTCCCAAATTGCTAGAGTTTTGTTTCAAATTGAGTTTAAATGGCTTAGCCAATGGTTACATATATTGCGGGCAGTTTCTGCAGTCCAGTGAATTTCATCTAGAGTGGTGGAAAACAAAGTGTTGTTTAGGGCTGGGATGCTTTTTCTTGTTTCTCGGATGCAGTCATTCAACATTCAAAGGTTGTTTTTTTGCTCTGATGGTAATTTGTCACTGAAGTTGATGATTGGGATGTATATCTCTGCATTTGGAAGAGTACTCCGTGCAGCTCCCAAAGGCCGTTCCAATTATTTTCTGACCAGAGTGGGGTTGCTTTGGGATCTGTTGTTTATGACAAAGGAGAGAAGGACTTTTTGGGTCTCCTCTGAAGTTGGGGTTTTGTGTTTCAAAATGTGAAACGCATGGAACAGTTGAGCCCCAGGATATCTGTCTACCTGGACTATGCTACTGTTGATTTTTGGAAATCTGGACAGGTTTGAGTCTCCCATGATGAGGATGGGTCTTGTGGGTTGTAAGTGCCAATTTGCATATTTGTCGCCAAAATGTGCATGGCTTATGAATTTATTGGTTTCTTCTTGTGCTATGTTCGAAGTGGGGTCTGCACTTGGAGGTTGTGGTTTTGTTGGTGAAAGGGGGTGATTGGTTGCTAGAGTTTGTTTATGTCCTCCCCGTGTTTCTTCTTGAGTTACTTGGATGGGAAGCATCTTAGCCTGGGGCTTTCTTTTTAGAGGTGGGGAATCTTTTGGGTCAAGGGATAACTGGGAAACAATAGTTTTAGTGTTCCCTTGGAAGCTGGACCTCCTGTTGGGCTTCACAGTTTTAGGACTGACTGGTCCTTGGTTGGTTGTGGATTTATCGAACAAGTGAAAACTTTCTTGGCTCACTGATGGAGTTGTTGTGGGAGGGCTGAATTTTAGTTTCCTTTTTTGAGTTTGGAGGCGTTTGAGGGTTGGACTTTTAAGGAGGTCGCAATTATTTGAGTTGGAAACTGTGGGAGGTGATGGAGTATGATCAAAATTGTTGGTCTTCTTGGGGCTTGAGAATTGTTCCAAGTTTCGGTTTGTGTGTGATGCTGGTTCTGGACTTTCTGTGCTTGGTGTCTGAATTGTTGAGAGATCAGTACTGTGGTTAGGGTTAGGGTTGGATTCAGTCTCCTCCTACAGTATTGGTTCCTGAATTGGGCTTTGGATCTTGTTCCAAGATTTGGTTTGAGGTTGGATTGGTGTTAGGGTGAGGAATTTGGGACATGGCAGATTCAATGAGTTGGGTAACCTCGACTGTTGCCCAG